AGAGGGCGAGATGAAGGCGAAGACAAACAACCCCTGAAATATGTCCTGTTCTAGGTTTTAAAATTCAAGAAATGTAAGAAAATGTAACTTGTTTCTTAGCGTGAGAAATCACTGCTTTGCAGTTTTGCAACTATTGCCTTTAAAATATATCTGATTTATAGAGAATGACAATAAATTGGTAGTATCTCCACAGGAACATCATGGTATAATATAATCTTCCAGAAAATAGTACTTCGAAAGAAAAATTATTTTTACACATTTCTATTTCTGTCAAAAGGAAACATAATGTATAATATTTACTCCTGCAAGCCATATTTATGTAAGCCACATAACATAAAAACCAACCTGTAAGCTTTCCATTGGCATAACCATAGCTCTTTGCAGCTGGACGAGGTTTATTTTTTGCATTTTCCAACCAGTCCTTAAACTTTTTCTCTGCTATTTCCTTTTTCTCCTGTAATTCAGCTTGCCGTTGTTTTTCTTTTTCCTTAAAATGACAAGACCAAAGATTCTCCAGGAATGTTCTGTAACTGAAATTCTATTTAACTTCTACCGACTCTTTTCCCCAATAGCTTCCCACCCCAGTGGCTTACTAATGATAAATACTGAATCATATTTCTATAATTTGAGAGCAAAATTTAACATGATCAGGGATGTGATACGAAGGTGGCTGCTTCTAAACAAGCCATCATCAAATCCAAAAAGAAAAAAACAATTCACCGCTTTAAAACAGAATAATTTACAATAATGTTATAAAAGTACATCAAAATATACTTAAAAGCATTAACAATAAAAAGTTTGAACCCAACTGAAAAAATATCAACAGGCTTATAAACATTTCTCAACCTAAGAAAACCAAATGCATATTCATTTCTGAAGCTTAAACATAGTATAATAAGTAGGGATAGCTTCATGTATTTATTTTATGCTAAGACAGCGCCAATTTTCTATTAGAAACGTTTTATACAACACAGTTGGCACCTGTGAACACCAAAGCCATGTATTCCAAGCACTTTAATAAAAATACCTTTTCTTTCTTCTTCTTCTCACATTCTTCAGCATTTTTTTTCTTTAACCATTCTTGATACTTTTCTTTTGCTTTTTCTTGCAAATGTTCTTTTGCCAGTTCCTTTGCTGCTTTTTCCTCCATTACTTTACTAATTTTTTGTTCCCTTTCTTTTCTTTGCTTAAATAAAAAAAATTTTTTAATTGCATTATCTGTAATTATCCTTGTATGAGAAAGGAGTGTTATATACAGTAGTTTTCTAAACTTGTTATTTCTTAAAATAGATAACACAGTGACTGACAAAATGTGGCTTATGAAAATATGTGACATACCTGCAATGACCCGGTCAGTTTCCATCTACCAGCTCGACTCTAAGATTCTGAATGACACTAACAAAGCTCTTGTTCACAAAAGTATACTGAGAGCCTGAGATAGTGCGGAGTAAACAGCTGGTGCTCAATAAAGATGTGTTGAATAAATTAGTGAACAGAAATTACAATCTGTTAGATTGTCCTGAATTGTCATGTTTTTTTCATGGATGTTTACCTCTAAAATTGGAGCCACACGTGTACATATTTCCTGGACAGTTTGCCGATATGAATACTTGGATAAATCTTCACCATCAGTGAGTTATAGAGAATAAATAATAACATTTTGGCCCATTAAATACTTCTCTGAGGGCACATACAAACAAATCTTTGGCTATGCAATTCTTATAAGTCTTACATAGTCCAGAGGTTGGCAAACTATGGCCTGTAGGCCAAATAAGGTCCACCTGCCACCTATATTTTTCAATAATTTCACTGACATTTGGCCACACCCATTTATTTATATATTTATTGTCCAGGGCTGCTTTTGCACCACAATGCAAAAATGAATAGTTGCAGCAGACACTGTATGGCCTGCAAAACCTAAAATATTTATCTGGCCCTTTGTAGAAAAAAACTTGACATGGACTATAACTCACTGTTTCTTCCTTTCTCATTCAAAAGATACTTGACCAACAGAGATAAATTCTAAATAACTAATGACACAGCTAGCTCTCTTTATCAAAGTTTTAGAAAATAATCTACAAGGCATAAAATGCATGCAATACAAATGCATCACACTTCATGGAGAAAAGAAATATGAGCCAAGAAAAGAAATTCTTGGGCCAGCTGTGCGGCATGTTGGTTAAGAGTTGGCTTGGGACACCAGCTCTGAGCAGCAGGGCCCTGGTTAGGACCCCACATGAGGGCCAGTGACACTGCGCCTTCTACAGCTAAGATGGTGAACAACAGCTCGACCTGGAGCTGGGCTGCTGTGAGTCGCCAGCGACGGCATAGGCTGCAGCCCCTGCTGCAGTGGGTTGCCATGGGCTACCGTGAGTGGCTGCCAGCCAGCGAGAGCAGCTGTGAGCTGTCATGAGCGGCCGTCCAATGGCCGGTGACTGATCCGCCTTGCCCGGGAAGAGCGCAATGATGATAATACCAACATGGGTCAGTGAAGCAACGTCCTCCACAACTAGACTGAAGAACAAAAGGACAGCAACTTGTCTGTTCCCCCTCCCCAATTTTCCAATGCTGTTCCCCTCCCCCAATTCCCAATAAAATCTTAAAAAATATTGAAAAAAAATTCTTCCCTTGAAAGCATCTTCTAGAATACTTTAATATAAGCAATTTAATTAATACCCAAGTAATAAACATCAGTTACATACAATATATGTCCAGTGCAGTACAGGAAAAGGCAGGTCTTAAATATCAAAGTCCAGTCATTTCCCAAAATGCTGTATCTCCTTCTTGTTGGACAGCCAGTAGCTGCCAGTAGGAATGCTTTCTGGCTGAGGACTTAATATCCATTGATTTTATCCACTGAATACTGGACTTTAACTAATTCATTCTGTCAGAAAATCTACAAGATTAGAAAGGATCTTGGGCTACTTCTTGTCCAATCTCTGTGTGACTCATGAGACTTCACAATCTCATCAATAGGAGTTAATCACTCCCTACACTGTTTTGAATTATAACTAACATTCATCCAGTACTAACTGCCTTTTACTACTCTATACACTTTATATGCATGTACTATGTCAATTTATTCTTATAACCACAATACGAGGAAGATACTATTATCTCATCTTACAAATGAGGAAACTAAGGCACAGAAAGGTTAAGTAATTTGTCTAAGGTCACACAGATGGTAAGTGGAAGATCATTATAAAGCATACAGACACTGAGAGAATGTTAAAAACAATTTTATGCCAATAAATTCACTTTAACTGAAATGTAAAAATTCCTTAAAATATACCACTTTCCAAAACTGATTCAAGAAGAAATTGAGTGCCTGAATAGCCCTTTACTTGTAAAAACAATTCAGATTTAAAACTTTCCCACAAAGAAAACTCCAGCCTCTGATAGTTTCATGGGTGGATTCTATCACACATTTGAATAAGAAATAATACCAATTAGTACACAAATTATTTTAGAGAAAAGGGAACACATTTAAGCCTGTTTTAAGAGCCCACTATTACTTTGATATTAAAACTAGGCATGGAAATTATAAAATATCAGGAATAAGGGAAGATAACTGTAATTGCTCTCATCATCAAAAACATGGAATATTAGGGCTACATTTAACAACTAAAGTGTAACATCCCTATACATTGAAAACTAAAAATAACATTACTAAGAGAAATTAAAGATGACCTATATAGAAATAAAATCATGTTTATAGATTTAAAATGTGATATTAAGATGGCAATTTTCTACAAAATGATCTATATAATTAATGCAATCCCAATAGTGTCATGGCACTATCCAAGCAAGCATGACTCGGGAAACAGGTGATTCTAAATTGTAATATGGAAGAGTAATTAAAACAATTTTGAAAAAGATGGAGGATTTATACTACCTGATTAGAAGAATTATAGAGCTATAGTAACAGGCTGGTATGGTACGGGCATAGAATATAGAGCAATGGAACATTAGAGAGTCCAGAAATAAACCCATATGTATATGGTCAATTGCTTTTAAACAAAAGTGTCAAGGTAACTGAACAGGGAAAAGATGATCTTTTGAACAAATAATGTTGCAACAACTGGATACCCATATGCAAAAAATGAATCTTGACCTTTAACTCGAATCATACATTAAAATTAACTCAAAATCTACATACACGTAAAAGCTAAAGTCATAAGACTTCTAGAAGTAAACAATAAAGAATACTTTTAAACCCTTGGCATATGCAAACATTTCTTAAATAAGACACAAAACCTACAAACTATAAAAGAAAAAATTGAAATATGGAACTTTATCAAAACTTAAAACTTCTGCTCTTTAAAAATACCACTAAGAAAATTAAGTGGGAGAAAATATTTGCAATACATATATATGTAACAGGATTTAAAGGAATATATAAAAAAACTCTTAAAACCTATTAATAAGACACACAATCCTTCCACAAAATGGGCAAAAAATTAAACACAAAACCAAACCAAACAAGAAGAGATGTAGAAATGGTCAATAATGCTATGGACTGAATTGTGCACCACCACCCCCGCCCAACATTCAATATGTTGAGAAGCTCTAACCCTCAATGAGACTGTAGGTGAAGATAGGACCTTTAAAGAGGCAATGAGGTAATTAAGGTCATAAGGGTGGGGTCCTAATCCAAACAGGCCTGGTGTCCTTATAAGAGGAGAAACACATCAGGGATGCACACGCACAGAGAAAACGCCATGTGAGGGTATGGAGAGAGGTGTCCATCTGCAAGCCAAGGACAGGCCTCCTTGCTCTGACGTCTTCATTTTGGACTTCCAGCCTCTCACAGACGCTTAAGAAAATTAATTTCTGTTACTTACTACCCAGCCTGTGGTATTTTGTTATGGCAGCCCTAGTAGGCTGATACAATAAATAAGCTTATAAGAAGATGCGAAATATCATTTGATCTCAGGGAAATGAACATTAAACCACAATGGCACACCACTACACACTTACTAGTATGACTTGAAATGAAACAGACTGACAATATCAAGTTTGGCAAGGATGTGGTGCAACTGGAATTTTCACACAATAGTGGTNGAGATCAAAGAAACTAGCTATTTTTAAATTCCTAGAAAAACATTAAAAACTCTAAATGGTAAAAATATCATTGATGAACCAATTTGACTCATTTAAAATGAACACTCAAATAATTTCAAACTCAAACAAGTAACACTTTTCAAATACAGTAAATATTGTACGTAAAATTAGTATGTAAATGATGATTCTAATAGTCCAAAAAATATTAAGGTTAAAATCTATATAAAAACTCATATAAAAATTTTACTAAGAAATTAAGTTTAGAATCCTTAAATTGAATAAAATCTTCATTTTCTTAACTAAATCTGGGAAACCACTTGAGTACCAGTTTCCCCTTCAGTCAGGCACTGAAGTTTACAGGAAAGAAAAAGTCACACTGCGTATGTAGCTAAAGTGAATCAAGATTCTTCCTTAGAATCACTGAAATTCTATATTACTGTCACTCAAATTTCTAAGATTCCATAATATCACTATAATTATGGTTACTAATTATAGAGTGTTCTAGTATAATGTATAGGAAGTGTTTAGTGAGTTGTAATGCCCAGTATCTAATAATTCTGAAGGAGGAATATTTTGTAAATCATACTCAAATCCTCCAGTCACTATACGCACATAAATTTATTTCATAATTTGTCAAAATGCTATAGGCATAAAAAATAGAGGCTTAAGAGCAGTAGAGCATTTGCAGACAAATATGATGCTTATTATAATAAAACTCATGAAAAATGCAAAAAAAGTTAATAAAATAATCCATCGTTTTGGCAATTAACTTCTAGTCAATATGTATATTCCCACCTAAAGATTTAACTTTACTACCCAATTGTTTGGTTAAAATCACTGTCTATTACTCTTTTTTCAAGTAAGAAAAAGAACGAAGCCGGCCATGCTCAGTAGCTGTAACAGATGACCTCTGTGACACGTAGGAGAGGCCTAAATCCTGACAGCAGGAATGTGTCATTCAGACACTGGCAACC